ACACTCTATATAACACACAATACGTTTGTTTTTAACTTCTCGCCCTTTGGAGGTCATTGTGACATCACCAGTTTCTCTTCACAGACCGTCCATGCAGAGAGAAATGTATTAATTTCACTGACACTTTCGCCCAGGGCATGCCAAAAGTTTTAAGCGTTATATAACAGTTAATATAATGCAGATCACATATTAGGCCACCGGGGGACTATATATTGCTGGGGATTTACTTTTGGAGAACAGTTTGTCCCTACACGATGGTCTTGCTTCAGTTGGTAAGTAAATTCTCGATGTAATATATAAATAGTTAAAAAAAGTTTTGAACGAGTAAAAGAGGACATATCGAGGAAAGGCCTTACTCTCCAGGTTTCTTACGAATACCTCCACGGAACGATAATTATTTTTATTTATTTTTAACTAACACTGATCTGAGACATTTTAAATATTTTTTTTTTATTTTAATGAAATTTACAACTGTATTACATCAAAAATACAACAAGTATATGTGACATTGGTAACATGACATATACAACATGAAGAGAAACTACCCATTGGAAGAACTCAAATTAAAGTTCTATATTAGAAGGTCCCGAGGCCATCTTCTTTTCAGACGCCTCGGAGGGTTATCAGAGATCGATGAGGAAGCAAGGTTTGAAACGAGAGGGTTCGGATGGTTCTGCAGTTTGTTATGGAAGGATAAGTATCTGGATTGGGCCAAATCGGAAACATATGGAACATTAAGGTCTTTATGGATGATTTTATTTGTGACAAAGTAAGGAGCGTTGAGGATTTTGGATTGTAAGGATTGGACACGAGAGGAATTCGATGGTTTAGTGGAGCCCCAAAGCTCAATTCCGTAAGTCCAAATAGGTCATATTAATGTCATATATATGAGTCATTTGTAATTGATTGAAATCTTAGAGCGTTTGACTAGTAAGTGCTGCAGTAGTCGAAAACGTCGGGCGGTTTCTAGTCGTTTCAGTCTGGTATGGGGATCATATTAAATATTAAGTTTAGATATCACGTTTGTTTAATAAACAGGATGAGGGCACGACCGAGCTCATGATTCACTGAATATTATCCGAAATTAATCTGGAAAGACAAAGAGACAAATCGCCAAAAAAAATCTGGTACGGTGCGCGCATCACCAACTTCCACTTACCATCCTATCATGTGTGAAAATATTTTCATATTTTAGGTATTTTCACAAACTAGGAAGCGAAGGTAAATAAAAGTTGTCGACAGTTTAACATATTCATTTAAAACAATTAATTACCGTACAAAAATCACGTTCGAGTTCAAAATATCAATAGAAATATACAAGTGTAAAAAATAAGCACTTGCTGAAGACAAATTAAAAAATCTGGCGTATCCATTCACAGGACTTTCCTATCTATTCAGAAATGTTTTTATATCTTTTCATATAAAGAAACAAAAAAAATGAATTATATTTATTTTCCTGAAAATTGATCAAAGAAATGTTTTAGTACGATTTATTTGATAAACTAAAGCAATGTAAAACGGTTTAAAGTAGATCAGTGTGAAAATTTCAATACTTTCAATTCTTTTTCAATATTTCAATATCTCTTTTCTCTCATTCATCCCTTTCTGACCCCAGGATATGTACCCGTAATCTTACATTGGAAATTGAATAGCTGTAACTTCCTTAATAATGGTCCGAAATTCTTATATAGTTTATTATATAGAATTCAACCTTTCAAAAAAACAGGATAAACAGTGTTTTTCGGGGGCTCTGAAACGAATAGATCCGTTGAAAACAGTATATCGGAAATTTCACCCCATCGTAATACTTTCCTTATCTAGTATGGGTAGAAAAGTAATAAATTAAAACGTGTAGAAAATAGAATAAGCTGTATCATCGCTAATACTGGTTCGATTCCGATGGGTTTTTTTTTTAATAATTTAATTACCTTTCAAAAGTTCTATTATAAATTTTACCGTATAATAAATACTTAGGGAGTTAGGCCCCATAACATTTTTCTTTTCTTTATAACTTTTTTTCCTGTATTTTATCAGGAATTTAGTACATATACGAAAATTGAAAGGACAAATATTAGAAAATTAAAGGAAAGTTTCATCGAAATCGTGAAGGCTGTTTTTGCGCTACAGTCTATGGAAAAATATGTTTCTCATTTATTGCGCATGGAGCATCCAATTTGTGTCACAGGCATCAGGCATCAGTCAAAACTCTACAAAATAAAAAAAGAAGCAACAAAATCGATTCAGTAGTTTCCGAGAAAATCTTGGCACTGACAGAGAGTCAAACCAATGGCTAAAAATGTGTTTTTCGGACTCAGGAGGCTCTGAAACGTATAGATCCGTCGAAAACACAGCATAACGGAAATTTGATCCTTTCGCAATACTTTCCTTACATACTATAGGTAGGAAAGTAATAAAATAAAAGAAAACTAAGGTGTGTGCTTAAGACCACATGGCAGAATAGTCCAGTAAAGTTAGGGAACAATAGCCTTACCCCAGCATCAAAAAGATAAAGATGAAACTTGTCAGAAAAATATCAAGTAAAAAGTAAAAATGCAATACCATGCACAGGCACTAATTTGAACAATATAAAAATAGAATATAACAAATACGCCAAAATTTAAAAAAAAATATTGCGGTGGGATACTGGGAATGGTATTTTATAGAGTATTTAAAGATTATTTAAGTATAGTAAGTATAAGAAAGATTAACTGAACTATCAAAAACTATCTTAAGCAATATCATACACAGGCACTGATGTGAACAATAAAGTAATGCTGGAACTATTTCTGAACACGTGCAACTAAAGGCTCGCCAAAACCTCACTTTTCTGTACTCTACTGTTAGAGTTTAAACGAACTTTGAAATTTTATTAGGTCACTTTTCAGGTCACCAATTATCTATAAAAAATATGGTATATAAAGGTATTAATTAAATTTAAAGATTCCTTAAGTCTTTTTAAATGTACTTACACGAACAATAATACTTTAAGAGGTATTTTAAAAAAATAAATTCCAGAAAACATGGTTATATTTTACCATTTTGGGGGGGGCATCAGCCCGAAAGCCCCCCGCCTCCCCGTAGATCCGCCTGTGTAAGAAAGATAGTTAACTGAACTATCAAAAACTATCTTGAGCAATACCATACACAGACAATGATGTGAACAATATAAAAAATAGAATATAAAAAATGTTCCAAAATTAAAAAAAAAAAATGTTGCGACAGGATACTGGGAATCGTATTTTATAGATTATTTAAATATAGCAAGTATAAGAAAGATAGATAACTGAACTATCAAAAACTATCTTGAGCAATACCATATCCAGGCAATGATGTGAACAATAAAGTGATGCTGAAACTATTTCTCAACACGTGGGACTGAAGGCTTGCCAAAACCTCACTTTTCTGTACACTACTGTCGGAGTTTAAACGATCTTTGAAATTTTATTAGGTCACTTTTCAGGTCACCAATTATCTATAAAAAATATGGTATATAAAGGTATTAATTAAATTTAAAGGTTATTTAAGTATAGTAAGTATAAGAAAACACTAGCGGATCCAGGATTTAATTTTGTGGGGGGCTTCAGCCCGAAACCTTTTTTTTTCATAAAAATAACGATAATCACTTTGGAAAAACAGAAAGAAACTAACTACCTAGATGAAATGGTGTTTAAGTGATTCCTTAAGTTTTTTTAAATGTACTTACACGAACAATAATACTTTAAGAGGTATTTTTAAAAAAAAAATGGTTATATTTTACCATTTTGGGGGGCTACGGCCCGAAAGCCCCTCTCCCCCACGTAGATCTGCCTGTGTAAGAAAGATAGTTAACTGAACTATCAAAAACTATCTTGAGCAATACCATATACAGGCAATGATGTGAACAATATAAAAAATAGAATATAAAAAATGCTCCAAAATTAAAAAAAAAAAAATGTTGCGACAGGATACTGGGAATCGTATTTTATAGATTATTTAAATATAGTAAGTATAAGAAAGATAGTTAACTGAAATATCAAAAACTATCTTGAGCAATATCATATCACAGGCAATGATGTGAACAATAAAGTAATGCTGGAACTATTTCTGAACACGTGCAACTAAAGGCTCGCCAAAACCTCACTTTTCTGTACTCTACTGTGAGAGTTTAAACGAACTTTGAAATTTTATTAGGTCACTTTTCAGCTCAACAATTATCTATAAAAAATATGGTATGTAAAGGTATTAATTAAATTTAAAGGTTATTTAAATATAGTAAGTATAAGAAAACACTAGCGGATCCAGAATTTAATTTTGTGGGGGTCTTCAGCCCGAAACGTTTTTTCATCATAAAAATAACGATAATCACTTTGGAAAAACAGAAAGAAACTAACTACCTATATGAAATGGTGTTTAAGTTATTCCTTAAGTCTTTTTAAATGTACTTACACGAACAATAATACCTGAAGAGGTATTTTTAAAAAAAATATTTCCACAAAACATGGTTATATGTTACCATTTTTGGGGGGCTACGGCCCGAAAGCCCCCCTCCCCCACGTAGATCCGCCTGTGTAAGAAAGATAGTTAACTGAACTATCAAAAACTATCTTGTGCAATACCATACGCAGGTAGATTTGAACAATAAAGTAATGCTGAAACCATTTCTCAACACGTGGGACTAAAGGCTCGCCAAAACCTCACATTTCTCTACTCTACTGTGAGAGTTTAAACGAACTTTGAAATGTTATTAGGCCACTTTTGGTATATTGGTAATTACATTACCATAAAAAAAGATGGTATATTACAATTCTCATGTTTTGAAAGTTATTTTAGTCTTCCTAGATCGGAAATCGGCCCCACTATATGTTGGAGGGAGGTGTGTAGACAGCGAATGATGGCATCGGCATCGAAGCTTCGGATTCGCTAAGCCTATTTTTATTATTATATTTTAATTATCCCATTTGTATAATAACATATGTTTTCAAGTTGTTGACTACCTACCCCGACCCTCTGACCCTCAGGTGATGGCGTGCTGCTTCGCCCTGGTGAGCTCGGACCTGCCCCCCTCGGGGTGGGTACATTACCGCCCCCAGGCAGTGCCGCCCCACGCCGTCTCCGTCAGCAGCTACAGGGCCAACCTGCCGGCCTACTACCTCCTGCCGCCACCGCCACCGCTACCGGTACTGCCGCAAGCCGCACCAGTCCTGCCTTTGCCGCAAGCCGCACCAGCCCTGCCTCTCCCGCCTCCTGTGCCGTTCGTCGGATGACATCGATCAAGTTTAAAAATGAAAAAATTAATACATATGTTTTTTTTTTTACTTTTGTATCTTTTTTGTATAAAATATAGTTTTTTTTTTAATTTATTGAATATTTCTATGTTGTTCCTCACCAACAAAATTTTAATTAATCCTTTCATTTCTTCTTGTGTGTAAAATTAAATATTGGATATTTATAAATCATCATCATCATGTGTGGCACGACATCCCGTTACCGAGACTGGGCCTCCTCCAAGAGCCTCCGCCAGTTGGCTCTGTCTTCTGCTGCAGCTCTCCAGTTCCGTACACCAAGCAGGGTTCTCGCATCATAGGCCACGTTGTCCAACCATCTCGTCCTCGGCCTTCCTACCCGTCTTACGAGATGCAGCTCCTCCATCATTATTTTCTTTGGTATTTCAACGGTGCTCATTCTGGCCACATGCCCTGCCCACCTTAGTCTGGCCAGTTTAATATACGTGACTACGTCGATGTCTGTATAGAGAGAACTGAGCTCCCTATTTTTTCTTATCCTCCAGACATCACCCTCCTTTACTGGACCATAAATCCTTCTGAGGACTCCTCGTTCAAATACACTCAGCTTCATCTCATCGTTTTTGGTCATCGTCCAAGCCTCTGAGCCATATGTCAAAACAGGCCGAACAAGGGTCTTGTATATGATCAGCTTGGTCTTCTTTGAGAGGTACCTACTTCTTAAGTGTCGGCCAAGTCCAAAGACACATCTATTGGCAGCCGTGATCCTTCTTTGTATTTCTTGAGCCATGTCATTTTTGCTATTAATTTCAGACCCAAGGTATATAAAACTTTTCACTCTCTCAAACTTAAAAGAACCTACCTCAAATGGAGAGTTCAGATCCACCTCACCACCAACTCTCATATACTTAGTTTTCCTCTCGTTGACTTCTAGACCAAGTGGTCTTGCAGCTGCTTCAAGGCCTATAAACTCTGAGAGCCCGTTCAGACCTACCTATTATGTCAATATCATCAGCAAAACCAAGAAGCTGTGTCAGGCGATTGAAGATTATATCGTTGGTCTGAATACCGGAGTCTCTTACAGCTTTCTCCTCTGCCAAATTGAACAATAGACAGGCGAGGGCATCCCCTTGCCTAACCCCACTGCTCACTTTAAACTCTTCGGAGTCTTCAGAACCGACGCGTATTCTACATCTCGAGCTGTCCATGGTCATCTTGATTAGGCGTACGAGCTTCTGAGGGATGCTTAGCTCCTCCAAGGCACAGTATAGTTGCGTTCTATCAACGCTGTCGTATGCTGCTTTAAAGTCTAGGAATAAATGGTGGGTGACTACCTTATGCTCCATAATCTTTTCTAGGATCATCCTCAGAGAGAACAGTTGATCAGTGGTTGAGCGTCCTCTTCGAAATCCAGCCTGATATTTCCCCAGTTCCTTTTCAGAATACGCGAGAATCCTCTCAAAAAGAATGTTAGAGAGCAGCTTATAAGCACACGAAAGGAGTGAGATTCCTCGATTTCTGTTTGATCTCCTTTCTTATGTATTGGGCAGATATAATGGGCTGTTGCCCATTCCGTAGGCATAGCTTCCCTCTCCCAGATGGTCAGCATTAAATCATGCAGAGCTTTCTTAAGTTCTTCACCTCCACATTTCAACAGCTCTGACTGGATTCCGTCCGGGCCTGGCGCCTTTCCATTTTTCAATTTCCTCAGGGCATTTTCCATTTCCTCCTCATCCGGGGGTTCAATAGAATTCAGGGAGTCTTCCTTCATTACTCCTACTTCTCCAGGCACCGTTCCTCTGTTTAATGCGTCTTTGAAATGTTGTACCCATCTCCTTAGTACGTCATCTTTGTGGCTTAAAAGAGATCCATTCGTGTCTTTGCATGCCGTCACTCTGGGCCTGAAAGCTGCCCTACCCTCGTTTATTCTCTGAAAGAACAGCTAAAGGATATTTATAAGTGGATCGCATATATAGTAAAGGAAGAGGTGGTCTACGTTTAAATGGAGTTGGAAAATCTTCAAAAACCTACACATCAATATATACTACTATCTCAATACAGTAAACACACTATTTTTTGTTGTAAATAAAAGTTTAATCATAGCCATCTTTTAAATCCAATCGTGACTAACATTAAACTGTTTGAAGCTAAATAAATCCAATGAAAAAAGAAAGATAGTTAACTGAATTATCAAAAGCAGTCTTAAGCAATATAAATAAAGTATTAGAAGAGATTGATCAAGCGGTCAAATAAATATTAAATTATAGAAATAGCATTGTTTAATTTTTTTCCCGAAGTTTCGCCCCATTTTGCAGGTCTTCATCATGGCTACAAAATATAAAAGGTACATGGTAAAAATAAAATAAATGAATATAAGTAGATAAAAATAAAAAGATGATATCAGGAATAAAGTGGGTGACAATGTAGTTAAAATATCAAGTATTATATATGTAGAAGATATAAACAAAAATAGAAAATAATTAGGAATAAAAATAGAAAACAAAGGAGAATATATTTTTATATTTTAGAATTTTCTATTTTTATTCATACTTATTTTCTATTTCAGTTTGTATCATCTATCTATATATATATAATACTTGGTATTTTAACTACATTGTCACCCACTATATCTCTGATATAATCTTTTTATTTCTTTATCAGACAACTTCTTCTTATTTTATATCTACTTATATTCATTTATTTTATTTTCACCATGAACCTTTTATATCTTGTAGCCCTGATGAAGACCTGCAAAGTGGGTCGAAACGTCGGCAAAAAATTAAATAATACTATTTCTATAATTTAGTATTTATTTGACCGCACCCCCCGATCAACTCCTCATATTATATCACGGTCAACCATCTCTACATCATTACAAATAAAGTATTGTTGAAGCTATTACTCAACTAGTGGGACTGATGACCTGCTCGCCCAAACCTCACTCTTCCATACCCTACAGTGAGTGTATTTTTTTAATACGCAATCACGCGCTACCTAGCCATAGGTTGCAAAAATACAGATAACCGCCTTCAAACTACAGCCTACAGAAGTTTAGATCAGCCATTTTGGCAACTTGACACACGGAAGGAAAGACGTAAGAGACAGGGCTCTGAACACTGTATGTAAGAAATTGCCTTATGACAACAAGGGTGAGTGAATGTCTTTTTCGTTTTGCCTCCTCCTTCCCTTAATATAATCCACAGAAAAATGACTTTATACAGCTGCCTCAAGTTTAACTTCATAATTTTTATTTCTGTAAAACTTAGTTTATTGCCAAAACAGAGAGGTTAAACGAAATTTAAAATTTTACTTAAATTTAGAATCTTTTTAGGTCACCAACTATTTATAGAACGGACGCGATATGACATTTCTCATATTTTAAAAGTTATTTTTGTCCCCCTAGATCGGCGATCGGTCCCACTGTGCGTAATGAACAACTTCTTAACGTTTCTATTCACGGTTTAATTTTCTAAAATATGATTAATAGAGACCGGATTTTCGCAGAGCGAAAAATTCTAAATCGTGGAGTAAAAACCCAAAATATGCTAAACTGATTAATTGAAACCTAAAAACATGCAACATCATCAATGTTGTTAATTTATAATATTAATATATTGAAATTCTATCAGACCCTGTGTTTATCTTCTGAATTAAAATAATGTCTAAGGAAATTTTATTTATTTTTTTGTTTTTTATTATTTTAATGGAATTTACAACTGTATTGCATAGAAAATACAATAAGTAAATATGAAATTGGTAACATGACATGTACAACATGAAGAGAAACTACCCATTGGTAGAACTCAAATTAAAGTTCTATATTAGAAAATCCCGAGACCATCTTCTTTTCAGACGCCTCGGAGGGTTATCAGGGATCGAGGAGGAAGCAAGGTTTGAAACGAGAGGATTCGGATGGTTCTGCAGTTTGTTATGGAAGGACAGGTATCTGGATTGGGCCAAATCGGAAACATGTAGAACATTAAGGTCTTTATGGATGATTTTATTTGTGACAAAGTAAGGAGCGTTGAGGATTTTACGAAGTATTTTGGATTGTAAGGATTGGATACGAGAGAAATTCGATGGTTTAGTGGAGCCCCAAAGCTCAATTCCGTAAGTCCAAATAGGTCTTATTATTGTCATATATACGAGTCGTTTATAATTGATTGAAAGCTTAGATCGTTTGTCTAGTAAGTGCTGCAGTAGTCGAAAACGTCGGGTGGTTTCTAGTCGTTTCAGTCTGGTATGGGGGTTCCAAGTGAGTCGTTTGTCAAGGTGGAGTCCTAAGTATCGGATTTGTTTGACAGGGATAAGAGGGCTATTGTTGAAGGATACTGTAGGACAGGAAGTCATAGGTTTACGACGATGAGTGAAGGTTATTTGATGGGATTTATTGGAATTTATTTTAATCCTCCAGTTTTTACACCATTTTTGAAGGCTTGTGATGTGTGATTGAAGAGTTTGGGATGCAATAGATGGATCGTTATTAACTGATAGGATACACGTGTCATCGGCATAGGTGGTGATGACAGTGTTGGATTGGGTTGGGATGTCAGCTGTATTAACTGTGTAAAGGATAGGACCTAGGATACTACCTGAGGAACACCGGCAGACTGAGTAAAAAGAGATGAATAAGCATTGTTATGATTGACTTTGAAGTATCTGTCAGTAAGGTAGGTCTAAGGAAATAAATAAAAAACAATTAAAATGCAACATTGAAAATAAAATTCCAGATTACAATTAAAAACCGATAACAATATATAATATAATACAACAATAAATTACGATTAACCTAAAGCTGGAAGAAAAAGAAATTTAAACAATACTAAGGACTACATAAACTTAATACCCATTTCTATCAATTAACAATGAAAGTCTCAAGATAAAACACAAAACAAATGGATGAAACATTTATTCATTTTTCTCTCTACAGGATAAGGTCTCGATAATTAACAAACAAATAATGGGACTCATCTTGAGATTTGATTAGTGAATTGGTTGATTGACTGACATACAAGGAATGA